AACTTCTGTTGCTAAAACGAATTTTGGTGAAGGAGTTTCCTGGCTCAGTTAAAGGTCTCAAGAGTTCCTGAGTTTCCTTCGCCTCAATAAATGCTCTGCGGCCACCAGATATATCAAACAGAACAGTCTCGTCCCTCACCTGCACATCAGACTTCACCTGTGGACCTCTTTTGATCACTTCAATCATGAGCGTACTCGATTCTTTTGAACAGCAGAGCTACCACCTCCATCAGGCTCATTCAGGAAGTGTTTGTTCGCAGTAGCAAAATCCACATCTTCTATCCGTTTGGCATCTTCTCCTGACTCCTTCAAACTCAGCAGGCCGTATATTCTGGAGAAGATTGAAGGGGTTATTAGGTTCTTGGTCATTCGCTCAACAAGCATTGAGCGGCGACGGAATGCGGTTTTGTGTAGCTTGCACAGAGGAATCCATGATAACTGATCAAGCATTTGAACAAAAGAAGAGATTACTCAACTGATTAAACATCAAACCCTAATAAAAAAAATGGAATGGGCATTGAGAACATAAAAATCCAAGGGATAACAAGCATCCAATAGGAAAGATTAAGCGTTGTGTCCCAAAAAAGCACAGGCAGTTCCTCCTGACATGGATGCATCTCAAACACAAATTTTGAAGGAGGGACGTGAAGTTCATCTCATCAACTTTCTTTTTTTTTTTTTTTTGATAAAAGATACAAATATATTAATAAATAAAAGGTTTGTATACAAAATCGGTTAAGACCGAATAACATACAAAAGAAAATACTTATGTGCCACTAATTTGACACCATAACATTCAAGAGAAAAACAACATGTTTAAACAGCTACCGATGTGAGAGAGCAATGGCATACCAATCAACTAGAAGAGCAGGATCAATTCTTCGACTGGAGCCGAGAAGAGAGAGTATGCAGTTTCGGACCATGGCGTTCATCTCATCAACTTTCTTTAACAAGGCTTTAGTGAATCATTCTAGAGTTCGAAAGAGAATCGTCTCTGCCCATTCCCAAAAAACAAAAAGAGTCAATGGAACTCCATTGATACACTCATCAGACGACAACCGTCTCGTTCGCTGTATGAAATTTGAATGAATCAAAAGCACACCATAACAGGCAAAAGAGAAACAATTCAGGGAACTCGTTTTCAATTACTGTGTTATTGAAAAATAAAGGCAATATTACTTTGTCAACTCAGAGTAGAGTTCGAAATCTACGTCGAAATTGCAAAAGAAAACTTCAAAATGCCCAAGAAAAAAGGATCAAACTAGAAACCCGAAAACGCTGGAGAAGAGAAATGCAACGAGGAAGAACGAAAGCGAAGAAATATAGAAGGATGAATTAGAGAGTCCACCTTTACGAGAGATTAGAAGGATAATCGACAATCGGGAAATCGAGGAAGCAGAATCAGAGAAGCGTGACGAAGAAGCAGAAGTTAGAGAATCATTGATCCGCCGCGTGACGATAACGGTTCCCCAAATACTCTTTTAAGAAATCAAATTCCGAGCCCTGGGTTTCTTCTTGGTTAAAAATGAGAGGGTAATTATTAGGCCCAGCCATTTGGGATCCAGTCCAAATATGTTTGGGCCTACGTCACCTCCGTGAATATATAAGATGTTGTATTTATGACTAAAAGCTATACATACAGTTATGCACAATATATCCTAGTGTAATGTTATGTCCCTGAATAAACATATAATGAGCCTTAATATGATATGTCATATCAAGGCTAAAATCAAACAGTAATAAGTATTTAAGGCGTTAATGATTATGATGACATTGATAACTACGACGTCGAGTATAATAAGGGGGGGAGGTGGGCCCGCGCGAGTTCTACTCGCCATTTTTCATCTTCTTCCTATTTGCGGCAGAAGAAACGGATTCATCTGTCTTCTCCAGTCGATCATTACACACAATGCAAACCTCCCACCTCCCATTTCATGAAATTTTGTTACAGATGCTTCCCCGGGCATTCCATTCAAGAAATCTAAATTAACGCAATGATCTATGAATTTAACAACATTTACATTTACACCACGTATATATTGTTGTATATGAATAGTTTTTATTTACACAAAAGAAGAAGACAAAAAAGAGTTGTTCCGTTCCCGTTCAGTACATAGACGAAAAAGTCAGAAAATAATCATATTGGGATCCCGAGCCGAATCTAATTTTGACTGTCATGAAGACCCCCAAAGCGTTTTTTCCTATTTTGATGTGTATTTTATCTTAATATTTTATAACCACGGATATGCTAAAAAAACTCTCTATTTGTACACAAATCTATTTCAAAAGAATTTGATTACTAGGCATCGACTCAAGTATGAAATTAATAGTTCGACGGATACAATTTGCCATGACATAATTTGAACTGTGAAGATCGTATTAAATATATTATATAAAGTAAAGTAGTCGGTTAGTTGGAAATCTATTTGATATATGTCGTGGAAAAAAGGACATGTTAGCACCCAAAAAAAAATAAAATAATTAAAGCTCGGAGATTGCCATATATACGCACGATAAGCAAGCACTGCCAGTAATGGATAATTTTAATGCTTAGAAAAGGGAAGAGCAATTATTTCACAAGATCTCATATTCAATCTGAACTCATAAGCATGTGGAAATGATTACTTGGAAAACGATGGAAAGTAGCAAGTAGAGTCCATGCGCCACCCCGTCCCTTTCTGATTCGACGTTTTGAAAATTTTGTGCAAACCTATTCTTCTCCTTTTAAATAATACGATTGATCCATGATTTAATTAGAGGATGGTGTAATTATTACATGTGTTGATGATAAATTACGGTTACATATGATTATAAATCAGAGTGATTGAGGATTGAAAGAAACTCTAGTCGAGTCCAGTGCAATTTAATAATAAAATTATTATGATATAAAGGTACGGTGGACAAGTTTCAATATTTGTTAAGTTCAACCTAACGGTCCAATAATTATCACATCAGCATTCGTGTGAATTGTCAAATATTGCATATATAAAATCAGATGGATGTATATCTAGTAGCCGCTCAAATATAAGTATCTAATGTCATGTATATCTATTCGGATTTTGTTGAAAATGCGGTTATTGTATGCTCTTCTTTTTTTGACGGGACACGATGATATGCCTTAATTTGGTGATTGATAGATAACAATGGCCCATTTACACCAAAATTATAAATAATCATAACGATTTTTAAATTTTAAATGCATTGATATATTTTTTATTCGTAAATCTTATAATAAAATTAATACCATTGATTCCAAATAAACTTGGAATTAAGGCGATTTTGATGCTGATGATTGGTATATTTTTTTTATATAACGGAGAAATTCGATTTAAAAGTGTAGTTTCGAGTTTCTAAAAACTTTAGAAATTTCAAATTAAATGGTATCAAATAATTTGGGAAGATATATGTATATTACATTAATATTAATGATAAAAGTCGTGTCAAAGTAAAATCAAACTAGGGAGATACCCCACTAAACGGGGAGAGAGATCCAAGTCAAACATGTGGTTACATCGTCCATCTGATTCCGGTTGTAACCCAATAATGCAAATCTCAAATCCTCTGATTGTAACACATAATTCCATCCGTGGGTTCGTCTAATCATTGGTACAGAACAACTCTGTCAGTGTTTTGTGATGCAAGTCGCGCGCTCCATCTCAATTATTCGCCAGAAATTGTTTGATACAAAATTGCAAGAGGTTATGAAAAATACGGATGGATAATACTAATAGTAACAGAGACCGTATATACGGTGTATGAACATGGGGAACATCGGATACGTGCATGAACGCGTACGTTCGAGCATGCATGTATTGCTCCGACCTAATGCGGTTCGCGTAGAGTTGGCTCCAACTAATCTTGGAACATTCTCTTTGGATCCGTCGCTGTAGGAAGGAATAGCATTTTTGGAGTCATTACCTGAAACTTCCCTTTTCTTAAGCTTCCAAAAATAATGTTTTTTTTCTTGCATTTTTAATCGTAAAATTGGTTTTATGTGTTGAAATACTGAAATAGATGTAATTGTGATTGAAGGCGAATATGAATTTTAGATATGATCAGAAATAATTATGGATATAATATTAATTAAAAAATTAAATATTAATTTTGTCAAATATTTGATATCTTATTTGGTTTGATTGTATTTATTTAGATATTTCGTTTTTTTTTTATTTCTTTCGATAATTTTCGGAAACCCAATGATTCAAACGTGTGGATATGTAAAATATCATAGCAAAAAAAAAAAGGAGAAAAGCGGATAATATTAGTTATTTCTATTGTAATAGTAGTAATAAAAATTATTCGATTTTTTATATATATTTTATTTTGTTTCAAGAGTTTTTTTTTTTTTTTTAATATTAGACTCCGTCGGATATGCAAGTGTGTTTGATTGTGGGTGTGCGTGTAAATGATTCCGAACGCGAGGGCGTGTGATGTAAATTAAGAAAGCGGCGTTTAATGAGGCCATTCCAGGTCGACAAACAGTGTATTGTCTTTCCATGTTACCCGACGGTCCAAAGAGAATAAGAATATTTGTAATAATTAAAAAAAAAAAAACTACAAGAAGTAAAGGTTCACTCAGAATCAAAGCCGCAGATTCGTATGAGCTTTATTTTTTCAAAGGAACTGGAAGAAAAAAGAAGGGTATATATCATATAGAAAAAGGAATAATAAAATCTCGAGTATTTTTAAAAATGAGAGAATCTCATCGTTTGAACTGATGCTCGAATAAAATAGCAAGAAATGTAAATTATTTGGTAAATAAATGATTAAACCATTATCTGAATATATAGAGTTTTAACACTTTACGTACCGACTATGCGATGTGGTGAATAAGAATATAGATTGACCAGAAAAGAAAAAAGAAAAAAAGAAAAAGAAAAAGAGTGTTCAACTTGATGTCCATTAATTTGTTATTAGCTCCACTTATTATTTCCCCAAGCCCGTGCCTATATATACCCATTAATGTAAACTCTCCTAAACGCAGAATAAAAGAAAAAACGAACACACGCACGCAGATATAAAACTATAGAATATACATCTGCGATATTTATTTCCATAATTGTTACCTTGTTTGGTTAATATAAGGTCAAAGCATTAGTATACACATACACGTCACAAAAAAATTGAGCGGCATGATGAAGATTTGCATGAGCGTTTGTAGACCGCCATTGCCGCCGTCTCAACTGGACTTCTCCCCCACGAGACTCAACCCCGACATCCTCAGCCTCAACCCCCACCCTCCAAAAGACAAGGTCGTCGTCATCATGGGCGCCACTGGCACCGGAAAATCACGACTCTCCGTCGACCTCGCCACCCGTTTTCCGGCCGAGATCATAAACTCCGACAAGATCCAAGCCCACCAAGGCCTCGACATTGTGACCAACAAGATCACAGCCGAGGAAAGCTGCGGCGTTCCTCACCACCTCCTCGGCGTCTTGCCTCCCAACGCTGATTTCACGGCCGCCAACTTCCAGCAGATGGCGAATCTCTCGGTGGAGTCCATCGTCAGTCGTGGTAAGCTCCCCATCATCGTGGGAGGCTCGAACTCTTACGTGGAGGCTTTGGTTGACGACGACGACTGCAAGTTCAGGTCGAAGTACGACTGCTGTTTCCTGTGGGTGGACGTGTCGATGCCGGTCTTGCAGGGGTTCGTGTCGGAGAGAGTGGATAAGATGGCGGAGAAGGGAATGGTGGAGGAAGTGAGAGAGATGTTCGATTACTCGGACTCGGATTACACGAGAGGAATCAGAAAGGCCATCGGAGTTAAGGAGTTCGACTGGTATTTCAGGGCAGAGCCGTTCCTGAACAATGGGGAGAGAGAGGAGATGTTGAGGGAAGTGATAGAGGAGATCAAGAGGAACACGTGCGCGTTGGCATGTCGGCAGAGGGAGAAGATCGAACGGCTCAGGAGGGTTAAGGGATGGAGCATCCAAAGGCTCGATGCCACGGCCGTTTTCCGGCAGAAGGGAGATGCAGACGGCACGTGGGAGAGGATGGTGGCTGCCCCCAGCACCCCCGCCGTCGCCAGGTTCCTCCTCGACATCGCCAGCCGTCCGCTCGCTCGGGGTCGCAACATGGCGCGGTGTCTCGTGGCCTGATCTTCCCCCCACAATCACAACCAAAGCGAATCAAGATTAGTAGCATGATAAGTTGTTAACAAAACTTTTTGGTCACTTTGATGTGACGATATATATATATATATATATATATATATATATGTATATGAGATTGTGAGTGTAACATAAAAATAAAACAACATGTTAATCAGTTCAAATATAGTAACTGTTAAATTTTGGAGCTGGTTTTATTAGTAAAATATCAAATGACCTTTTGCTGTGTGAAAATTATGGGAGTGGATGGATATTGCTCGAGAGTGCCCCCTCCCTAATAATTTGAAATTGATTACAATGAATAAAATCCAAACAAATGTATTCGCCGCTTAGGTGGCAAGGCGCACGCGCGCGTGATACCGTACAGAATTTGCCGCTGACAATTGTGAATATCCTTGTGGGTCCCCTTGCCATTTCAACCTAATCGACGTTACTAATGACCCTCTAAGCATTTCTCTCATTTTAAACCATCATGCCATATTTCAGTGTCAGATAGAAACTATGAAGTATGAACCGACCCACTTGTATTATGTTTTATGTATAATGTCAAGTTTCCCATGATAGTTCCATTCTTTATTTCCATGAAATATTTTGGACAATTAATGTTAGAAACGATATACATGCAAACGTCAGTGATTAGATAGAAGAAGCCAGGCATTACAATATTTAAGAATATTGACAATATAGACATGAGGTCATTTACCATCACCGAAACTAGGGTTTATATATGTATATATAATAAGATATGACTCCCCCCAGTCTAATTACGTGGACAGTATACAGAGAGTGGAAGGCCCCCCGACTTTATTGAAACATTGAGAAGATTAAGCATCGTATTCATAAGACCCGGAGGAAGTAACAAAAGAAAAAAGGCAAGGAGATCATCGAATGAATCTGCCACCACAGATGAAAGTGACGATGCAGGACTCGTCCACGAAGACTGTGTAGTTATGAACAGGCCTGGCCAGAAGAGGCGGCAGGTGAACAAGGAGGTCGCAAACGCATTCGTTGTCCATTTGTTTCAACCATTTGCAACACTCTGCCTCAGCAAAGGATTCCCTGTGTTCAACCCTGTGACTCCTGTGCCTGCGATGGCTGTGATGCCGGTGCTTGTGCCCATGGTGGTGGTGGTGGTGGTGCTCCCCATGCTCATCGTCGTCGTCGTCGTCTGGAGATGGTGGGGCCGGTGGAGACGGTGGTGGGTCCACCGGTGCAGGAGGCGGGGTCAGTGGCGGGAGAGGCGGGTTTGGGAGAATGGGCAGACGGGAGCAGGCGTAATTAGCCAACGCGTACTGAGAAGTGCATAGAGGCCGCTGTACGGGGATTGGCATCCTTTGGCCGATTGCTGTTAGAGCTGAGATCACCATTATGATAATGAGAAGAGGTGGTGCAAGCAGCAACCTCATACCGGTGGTTTCCATTTGGTTGGAACCGAAATGATCGGTGTGTGAAGAGAGATGGGTTGATGGTTCTGGTTTATATATATATAATCACAGCAGATAACAGAGTTATAATATAAGTGGAAGGGCAAAAAGAGGGTGGAGGGTTGGACCTCTTGTTGTTGTTGTTGTTGCGTCAGGATTTTGATAATGGTTTCATCTGTTTTGTGTGACTTCAGAGTTAGGTTGCTTCTAGAACTTCACAACCTGTTCCAAACCTGAACTGAACTCAACCAAAGAAGCAGTTTAACTCATTATGATAAATTAATGTCTGCATCTTCTTACCCATGAAAGGCAACATCTTGAGTCATCAAAACACCGTCGACATGCTAGGCATCAGTTACCGGATCTGGATTTATTATAACCAGAAGGAGTGAACATTTTCCACAAAGATCAAGGATGATTGTGTCAAAAGGAGACAACTGAATCCATTCAACTGCAACGCACATGGACTGACAGGTTTACATCAACCACAGCAGAAAAGACAGGGCTTTTTCCGACGAAACTCACTAACTAAACCAAACCTGCATAGAGGATCATATAGTGGGGAATGAATGGAATTGGAATCTAGAGCACACTGCATCAAGCTCCTTAAAATACCCTGAAACCCCCCAAGTGAAGTCTGACCGATACCTGCGCTTCAATCAGTACAAAGTTCCAGAAGATTAGAAGATTTAGACCGGTCAACTGCAGAGAGGCTCCTTCTGTTCTTCATCCCTTGCCGCCTTCATCTTCAGATCTTCCTCAACTTCTTCCTTGCGCCGAATCAGTCTCTCTTTCCTTTCTTTCCACCCTTCCTCCAATAAGCTGGCGAATTTATCCTTAATCTCCAGCAATGGATCTCTATCAATCAGCTCATCATCCTTGTAAGCCTCTCTCAAGACCGCTGTCTTGATCCCTCCTTTCAGGGACAAGTAGAAAATACCCGAATGACGGGTGAAGACACTCGAGAAAGCGTTTGAAAACCGGTATTCATCGCTGAATTTGCCTAGTATAGGAACCGGAACCCTCTTATACAGCGAGAGAGACAGCAATTCGTGTAGAACCCCAACTGTTCTTTTCTCCATTTCTCTGGAAGCTTGATCTAATTGGGACACATCCTGGTATGGTGATACGTAGTCAAGCTCTATCCAGTCCCTCGTCCACTCCCTCATTTCCTTCCTGAGGAAAAACCCGGATGGCAATTTCACGTTGAAATTGGGTCGGACTCGGACTCCTGTTTTAATAGTTTCGTCTTCCGCTCTCTGCTCAATCACCGATTTCGCGAAATCAGGGTTCCATGAAACGAGCTCGAGAAAGGATTGGCCTTCCCCCGGAAAACCTGTTAAACGGAAATAGTTTGGGTATCTCGGAACCAAATTCACCAGAAAATCATTAGGAAACCCGAACTCTCTCTTCACGTGAATCAATTTATCCACGTTGATTACCCTATCTTTGGCCATCATCAGCATCTTACACAGTTTCGAAACAATCAGGGGCTCGTGGTCAGAGTAAATCCTCTCTTCTTCCTCGAGAAATCCCTTGAGACGGGCGGTGGGTCGGATGAACTGTACGAGATCCGATTTGGGTTTGATCCGATCATAGTACACCTCGAACAGAAGAGGATTGAGATCGACAAAGGTCTTAGCTTTTACATTGAGACGCAATCTCTCGCGCCGTTTCTCAAGGTATCGGAGAGGGATAACTTGACCCGGTTCATTCAGCACTTCTTTGACGACCCGGGCGCAGAGCTTGTACCGTTTCTCCTTCTCGATGGCTTCGTCCAGCTTTGGGTCTTTCCGCCATACCACTTTCAAGCTCGAAATGTGTCTGATTTGAAGGGTTGATCTAGGGTTTAAAGGCGAGTTTTTCAGGGACTCGATGATTTCACGGGAGAGTGATGGGCTTCTGAACATCATTCCCGGTGTAAGGGATTTAGGGTTTAGGCCTATTATTACTGGGAGGGTGCGGCTTCGGGAGAAGTAAGATATAGTCTCGTCTCGTGTCGTCCTAAGAAAACGCGGCGTTTTGAGGAGGCTAATCGTTTTGTTCGTGTCAGTCTGTGATTGGTTAAGAACCAGGATTATACACTTTTACTTTGCATACTTAAAACTGTTCAAACTAAAACAGCAGCAAAAGGCAAGACACCTGAAGAATTAGACTCTACACAACAGAACAACCCCAAAGTCAAGAGCATGACTTTCCCGTTCCATCGGAACACAAGTGGCACACATGTACTCTCCATGGCCTACTAAGACCAGAGTCCTAATTTTCCTTCCCTCTTCGGCGTCTCTTTTCCCGCCTTTGAGAGGAAGACATAGTGTCGATATGTGAACTAATCATGCCAACATAGAAGCAATACAGTGCATCTCCATATGATGTAAAGCCGAGCCCTTTGCTCTCTCATCTGCTTCGAACCTCTCTGCCATGTCCGGATCTTCGTGCACCTCCCGGAATACACAGTCGCCGCCATTTTGAGCAAACGCTTGCGGTCGAATCGCTGCTGGGAAATGGGTTCACTGTTTTGTATAGCTTCGAACTCCAAGGGATGAGAATGAGGGGATGTGTGTGTGTGTGTATATATAGGGAGAGAGAGAGAAATACATGAGAAAATAGGATAGGGGATGAGGGAGGGGGCGAATATGTGGTGGATGGAAATTGCAGGAGGGAGAAAGAGGACCCACTGTGAGAACACACGCTTTAACCATTATAGCTTTTGTCTTCCTTCTCTCAACTCAACCTATGTTCGGTGTCCATCTTCATCACCTTTTCGTTATTGAGGTTCATCTGTTTCCTTATGCCCCCTCTCTATTGTGACATTTATTTGTTTTGTTATAAATGATTGTTACATTACATCGATCATGCAAGTAATTTCTTCAAACAAAGAAAAGTTATTATTTACAATATTCACCAATTAACCTTTTACCAATAAAACTACTTGTTCTGATCGTTCTATACTTCTCTTGCAATCATCGATATAGGTATGTATTGATATGACAGAGAAGAGAGTAGGCAAGGAATGAGGGGAGAGGTCGCAGTCCGACGCGGGGACCAACCGGACAACTTGAACTAGGTTGGGTAGTCACGTGCGCTTTCTCCTTGACGAGTCAACCCGACATGTCTGCCACGTGTCGCTCTCTCCCTTTCTCCCCCCCCACTCCTTCGTACCTTCACGCGTTTCTTCCACTCCCCTCCTGCGGCCATAAAAGTTCCGAACAACAACAATTCTGATTGAAGTTCTCACTGCTTCTTTTTACGAAGAGATTATTAAACATGCATCGTCATCAACAAATTTGTTGTTGGAGCATATTTGGTTGATTCTTGAAAGTGTTGAGGTGATGAGCTTTTTTTGGTATTTTGTTCCGTTTATAAACCGACCGTTCATCGGTTTGGGTGTTGAGTTTGTAAACCCCAACTCTAAAATCTTTAATTACATTTTCTGAAATGTAATATATACAATATATAACTAAAGACGATGTAATATAATACAAAATAAATAATAATGATATTGGAGTTATGGATAAATGAATCCATTGTGATAGGTATACAAAAGCGTTTTTCCACGAGCAAGGAGAGACACGTAAGATTGATGGGTCACGTTCAACAAAATAACAAAAAAGGTGGTTCATTGCAAATGCAACGACCAGATTTGGGCTACAATGGGCCCACTATATTTTGACGCAGTCCTTAAATGGGCCCAAGCCCACGTGGGATACCTGTCTCTGTGTGGTCGAGAGTTGCTGCGGTTCTTTTCACACAAGACAGCGTGAGTAAGAGATAAGGTTGTTCCTTTTGTCATTAGTTATTTACCCCACCCCCAACACACTGCTTATGGAGGATAAATCCTCTGAAAAATATCAGCAGGTGCATGGAATCTAAACACACACACATGTTAGAAATCTGGAGGATAAACAACGGAAAAACGAGAATGAAATCGAACCGAGGGACCGGATATCTCTTCAAGGCGTGTAGACACTTTCCTAAAACCGTTATTCCGTCCGTTACGAGCAAGGACTACCGGAATACGATTCTGAGATACAATGAAGAGAAATACGTTCTAGAATTGCTCGTTCAAGAACGCACAGACAAGGAAACGTGAAGAAGAAGATGAACGAAAGTTCTCGGGATAGTTTTTGCAAGAAACTTCCGAAAGTGCTCTCAAAATCTCTCAAAATTGGAATTAATCTCGTACCCAACTTATTCTGACATCTTTAATATATAAACACCAAAGAACATCACCAAAAGTTACAAAATCTGCAGTTATTACGCGAAGAATCGCATCAGTTCGTATATAACTGTCATGTTCCGAGTTACACTTGACACAACATGAAGTACTTCTCACAGACTTTTGACTCGGATCGAGTTCCATCTGACACGGGCCGTGTCAAATTTCTGTGCAACACGAGTTTTTCCTTAGAAAAGCAACACGGTCCGAGTTAGATCTAACATTGACCGAGTTACATTTCTGTAAAGGAAATTTCGTTTTCATCATGAAGACTGAGTTCTACTTCATCCGAGTTGAGGTATACCTCACTCACAAACCGAACAACTTTACTGCCAAACACATATGTGTTTCACCGATCCATATTATATCATTTACGAACATTTAACTCCTCCACCATATCCGTAATACATATAACTATGAATCTCTGGAGAGATTATTAATAAACCCCATTCATTTACTCTAAAAATACCAACAACACACACACACACACAAAAACTTTAAAAGATGCAGACAGCTAAAAAACTTATTTTTTGTAATTTCAATAAATAGAAAATTATACTCTCCTAAATATCCTTTGTGATTTCAACATTAATGTTTTAATTTTTCACAAAAAAAAACATTAATGTTTTAACGTTATTGATCTAAACGTGATTCCAAATCTTTTTACAAATATTTCAGGTAAATATAATCCAACTATATCTTTTTATTTTTTTTAATGAATTTCTCTATTGAAAATATTATTATTTTTGAATTTTTATCTGTAGAGATTTAAGGAGATTATCAATTTTTTTAATAATTAATCCAAATACATTTTTTTTTTTTTTGTAAGAGGTGATTTGTATTATATACTGAAAAGTTACATTCGAGCAATTGTTTGCATACAAAAGATTTGGAACCTACTAGAAAATGGTAACTAAGGTAGAAAACAAGCTATTGGATTAATGTCGTGTTTCTCGCGTCAAATAATACCAATCTGCAAGTAAAGATCTCCTATCATTACTGGAATTTCCTTTGATAGATAACAAAATATTCCGAATAGTCCGGTCCACCTTCCAACGTGTGTGTTCAATTGATCTTCGTCTCCCTCGAAAGATTCAATGATTTCTTTCCTTCCATAACTCATATATCGTTGTTTGTAGATGTTTCGTTTGTTGTCTCTTCCTTCGCTTTGTGATTCAAATAAAAATTATTATCATACACTACTATAGTTTGTCGATAAGATGTTGAGTTTTCGGCAAAGTTGTGAAGGGACGGCAAGACAAAGCCCACGTGTAATTTTGAAATTTAACAACCATCAAAGTTGTCAGGTTAAAAATCAACTGTGGGCTAACGAATGCGATTACTATACTACCTCCGTTTTTAAATAAATATCATTATACTTAATTTTTTAAAGTAAATTTATAATTTCATTCTCAATTAAAAATATTCAGTTTTAATAGAATATTAATGAAATGTGGTTTAATAAGGATAACTTGGTTCAATGAAAATATATACGATTTTGTTTATATTTCGTGAACGTTTTAGGGGGATAGCAATTTGTGGGGAGTTGAGAGCTAAACCTATTCTCGCATGCATGTAAACTTGGGCTAAATGGGCCCAATAGTGGCCCATCAATAACCCACTCGAAATGATCAAGTTTATGGGCTTTGTTAGAAACTACCCGTAATAAAGAAGGACGAGGCTGACTGGGCTCGGTAGATGTCCACTATTGGGTTTAGTTTATGGTCATTAACCGATGTGTGTAATGGTAATGTGTAAAGGGGGTTAACAATATCCATGTGTTTGTATACAAATTTTACACCTTAATCATGTTTCTGTATCAAACTCTACCACACTATTGTATTGTATCTAACGTAAATCATGTATATGTATATATTACACAATACATTTTAGACGATTAGTGAGCACATGTTCGTCAATGTGGTCAAGTGTTCCACTGCAGTATCCAGAATCCGTTAAAGGGAATGGAATTATTTGGAACAGTTATAACCACTAGAGAGAGAGGAGTGGAGATCATCATCATTCACATGCCGACACGTCTGAATGGGCATATATGCTCACATCCTTACACTCGTGAAAAAAAAAAATCATTTGGTCAGTATTGCTACAATTTACCCTAAAAAAAACAATTTTTTGTTAGCTACTATGATTGTTACGTAAAAAAAAATTCTTATGGCTCTGATTTGTTCCAGCTAATACTCATTTTTTGTTGGTAAAAACCAATACTCATTTTATGTAACAAAAAATATTTAAATGTATACTATCTATAAATACCACGAGGAAATGAAATGACGTTAGATTCCAACGCTAAGGACTTGGGATATTAAAACACGTAGACCACAAACATAAACAATGGAGCCGATAAGTAAACGTGTTATTTTGCCGATTGCCACCGCATCTTCTAGACCTCTAACCCAGCAGATATTTTCTTAATATTTATTTTTCAAATAGAAGATCGAAACATCGGTTTCCGGCAAAAGCAGAGATCTCGAAAGATGGGCCACCCAAAAAAGTATGACTCTTTCGTTGTCTCTCATTATAACTTGTATTTGCTCCGCAGCTGCCACGTTTCTCTGCCACAGAATAAACGCGGTCTCCTGATGTTCTGTCTCTCCCACAGTTCGACACGTGTCCCGCAGATATTTTGCTTCCCGACAACGATGTTTTGGATTCGCGTCTGCGATCCGACACGTGGCGCTCCTGGCTCCTGTTTTTTTTTTTCTCCAACCCGGATGTTAGTTATTCCCTTCGATTCTCTGTTGTGGCGTTTACGCAAATATCTGTTCGACATGAGTCCCGCAACCAATAGGATCTCTCCACATTTAATAGCCTTTGGGTCGTCTTTCGTAGTTTGTGGACACGTGTCCTATCCTCGAGCACCGTACCAATGGATATATAAGATCCCGTCGCGTGTAGAGTGTCGCTGCCGTCCAGAAACGCATGGTTTGTCGTCCAGATGAATGCGAATAGACGGCTCAGATTGGACCAGAGCCAACCGAGGCGGTGGATCAACTCGGGTGAGTCAGGGATAGAGGACGAGCAAGTCCTCGCACTCGTCTTCGAGTCCATGAAATGGGACATACACACGCTCTGTGCCACCGCCTCCATCAACCGCAAGCTCCGCGCCATAGCCAGGCGGCTCCTCTGGCGCATGCTCTGTCTGCACCGGGCCCCGCGGATGGCGGCCGCATTGTCCGACTCCAAACCCAACGGCCGCATCGACGGCGGATGGCACACCCTCGCCAAGGTCATGTTCTTTTGCTGCGGGAGCGAGTCGACACGGCATTTCGAGCTGAGTCGCCCGTCGCCGGGCCACTTCGTGAGAGAGTCCCGGTTCTCGAAGACCTCAGGCCGTAGTTTCCTGGCGAAGAGGTGCCGCGGGGATCTGCTGTACGTGAGCGATCCGTGCGAGCACAGGACGGGGGAGGCAGAGGACGATCTAGGGATTTTCAGAGGGGTATTTAAGGGATTCATGCGGTCGAAGACGAGAGAGTGTCTGGTGCGACGGCGGGCAGAGCTGGAAGAGAATGTGAGGTGTCCGTACTGTGGAGCGCGCGTGTGGAGCATGACGGCGGCGCGTCTGGTGCCGAGGAGTGCCGCCCGGCGGCTGGGATCGCGCGACGGAGGGGTTGAGTTCTTCGTGTGCGTCAACGGCCACTTGCACGGCACTTGCTGGCTGGTTCGGCTCTCCTCTGACGAAGACCGGCGAGAATATGACGACGACGATGACGAGGAAGACGACGATTTCGACTGCGGTGAGTAGGTAGCGTGGATTTGACCGGAATCTGATTTGGCTACGCGGAAGGATCAAGACATGTCTCAGGATTCTCTCTCTTTGACACGTGGCAAGGACAGCTCGAACTGTAGTGGATATGGGAGGCTGACGTGTACAAACATGCTTTTGCCCACACGCATTTGGGTTCGGTTTGGTAGGATTTGGCAGGGTTTAGAGTTGATTGTAGAGAGGGTATGGTCTACTTGTATAGACCGGCTCAAGATCTAGAGTGCCACTGCGATTGAATTCACCATTTAACTGCGATTTTTGTTTCCGGTTACAAACGCTTTGGACCCCATTTGTGAATTATAAGATTAATTAAACATTTGCCTAACACCATGTTTGTAGTTCGATATATATAACGTCAAAGCTTGCAATGAAATTCAAGATTCTAACCGCCATTTCGAACAAACGTTACGTAGTCCACTTGGATTTAGCCGACCATATGACTTGGGAACAGTTTCGTTGTAAGAGGGCATCAGATATCGATTGCCTCCACTATACCCATATTAGATGTCGTTTCTCAGAGCTCGAGAGCTTTTGTACAATAATAACCTATACGGAGAAACACTTACCTCGTATAAGAAGAAGACCAAGACTTTGAGACGCATCCTCAAAAGGTACGGACAAAAGAGTGAAGAGTTCTAAAACCTAAGATATTTACCCGATAGATGATCTACGTACAACAAAAGATGAACATGATCATCCCAACACCAACACTCTCATAGCACCTGCATTTCTGTCTTTCCATCAAAATTATCCCACCTCGGACAGGCTTAAGACTTCACTGCTCGATGACCCTGTCCAGGCACCAGCACCAGTATTCTGATCTCGAGATCTCGTACAGCTCTTCCGGGGTCATCTTCTCTAGGTCCCCCTGTTTCCACAAGTTCAACCCATTTCCAGGCTTCGCTGTGTCTAGCTTTCCCGCAAAACGATGATCTTGATCACGCATTTTCTTGTACAGTCTCATTGCAGATACACAGTCCTCATAAGGGCAATGTTTCCCTGATTGAATTTTGTACCTACACAAGCGTTGACATTCAGAGAATTATGAGAAACTTGAGATGAATCCTGTGTTTGGTGTTCTGTCGTTTCTGGATAAGCTTGGCCCTCCACAACAAGGATCAGAGAACACTCAGGACAGGCTTCAGGTAGACAAGTTGAGAAAAAAAACTTCGGGTTTCCAAAACAAGAATGAAAGTACTACGACCTATGCAACCAAACTAAGATCTAAATCAATGTCAACGAACAGAAAGATATACAAAATTTCAGGATAACTAACCCGAGATACGACTTGGTTAGATACTTGAGGGATTGGCTGCTGATATTTGTTTTCATCAATGGCTGGTATTTCGCAGTGTCTCTAAAGATGGAAAGAAGGAAATAAGTAACAGGCTGAAAAGGGAAATTTCAACCAAACTTATCGGAGCAGGCAAAAAAGAAATAACAGAACAAATTTCGTTAGTTTTACATACCTCAGCAGGTGGCCGGGATAACTAATTCTCAAGCAATCCAAATCGTACTTTAAGCCATGACCGACAAGAAGAGGCCTTCGAACATAATGTCCGTCATACAAGATTGACAAAAATTTTTCTTGGACATTCCTAAACGGCATACCATCCTTCAAATCATTTTTGGTCAATCCAGTTACCTCGTGCCTGAGACCAAGGAGAATCAGCAGTAACAATCTATAAGAAAAACAATGTCTTTAAACTAGCAGAATGTGCAACACCAGAACCTGTAATTGGTAACGGGGATTTGTGGTTGAACAAAAGTGTCAAGGATCACATTCTCCTCTTCATCAACAATGCATACCCTTGCGCACAGGTCAATTGACCCGTCATCTCCGCCACCAACCATTTCGCAGTCAACTGCCACTGCCTTAGGGCCTCTGCTGGTTGAGCAATTATTATGTGATCTAGAACCATCTGCCCAAGGTCCTATACAAGTTGTTCCCTAACATGAAAATGCCAGTGCAAGAGGCTAACATCTAGGTAGAGTAGGAAAAATAACTCTGTCATTTGCATACGAACAACCACACACAACAAGCAATCAATTACATGGGGGCATCGATCAAAAAGTTATAGAAACATTTTGTTAATGACAAGGATTGGCTTCGTTTTTTACTTCTTTGAGACATGAGTGGTTCACGCTTGGTGCTTCCTAGTTGACATGCCATAATTAACAGAGATATAGAAAATACAACAACACAAGAAGTGTCGCTCAACTTACAATTGGAACAGGTGCAGACAAGCGACATTTATGTTTATGCTCTGCCAAGGCACTGGCTTCTTCAAAGACTCTGAGACAAAGACTGCAGCCTCGTTCAGAGAAAATGGAGGCACAGTTCCCCTTAGCTAGAGGGCCTGAGACATCATATGATCTTCGTTTTAAAAAACTGAAAGTAGCCATGACTAAGGACAAAAGGAAGGTCCGTCAAAGGACAAGCATCCATATGCCATACCATTAAGGTGTTCCCTAACAGACTCCAATGATTTACAGTGCTTCAGACAAACACCACACCTAGGCTGATGAACTGAGTGGTAAGCAATCTTCATGTGTTCAACGAGGTGTTCTTTTCTATTGAACTGCTTGTAGCACGCGACACATTTGTGCCTGCAGATACACACCACCACAGGATTGAAAACGGAGATACCCGGAAATTCACTCTATGATCAGAGCTGCCTATACACACGATACTGAAGAACTACACACCGATTCCCAACATTATCATGCAGGGATCGAGTCCCTGCGTACCAATACTGGACAGTTCTGCATCCAAAGCGATTCTGGTCATGCATCTAAGTTTATCGTCTATTGAAAAAAAGAAGAAAAGCTTGACATTTCCGTGAAATACCCTAACGAAATCGTAAAACTAGCACAACTTTCTCCTTCATGTTCTCAGAAAAGGAGCTCGAATTATGCGTAAATTTAGGAAGATTGGAATGATGAAGAGAGAAGCAAACCTAAGCCTCTGGCTACTGGGAGGATCCGAACCAGGCTCCATGGAGATGACCGTGGATTCCCTCGAGACAAGTGAAATTTGGAAGGAAAAGTGCGCTCGCCGCTGTGATGGGGAAGGGGAATGGGCACTCAGAATTCACGAGAAATTGCACGATCGCCCTTTCTATATATGAAACTACAATTTTACGACCTTTAAATTTTACAAATTTATATTTCCACCCTCTCCTCGGCAAATGACAAGACGGAATGGAGAATATTCGGGCCAAATGGGCCTGTATGAGCTGGCCCAGTAAAATCCGCAGTGATTTTTTTGGCAAATATAAAAAATATTACGTAAAATCAAGTAAAAAGATGGGATATGGAAAGAGTCTATGTTGGGTGAATATACGCAAATCCATCAAAATATGGAAAAGTCTTCCATGCAAGTTTTTGGAAACCACATGGAAAATTTCACAAAGCGCTTTGTCTTGTCTTTGGTGGAGCTTCAGATTAGGGTTTCTGCGGTTTCTTTCGAGGAGTTTTAGAGATCCGTCCACCAAGCTTCTTGGATGGAGAGCCAAACTCCATCAGCCCGGGTACTTGTCGACCTGACTATATATACAGAGGTTTTGACAGTTGAATATCAGTTAACTGACGAGTTTCTATGTTTGTTTTTTGGGGAATGGAGACTTTCGTTGTAAAAGTTGATGTAAAGTGTTGCAACGGTTGCCAAACAGTTGTCAAGAGAAAGTTGCAGCGTCTCTCTGGTGATTTTCCTCTTCATCTTTTTTTCTTTTTTAAATATATTCTACAAACTGCAAATCTGATAAAAAGAAGAAAAAAAATGAAATGGAAAAGGGGTGAGGACAGTAGAGTACAATGCAGAAGAAGGGTTGATGACAGTTTCAGGAGAAGTGAACCCGAACAAGCTGCTCAGTAAGATTCAGAAATTGGGTAAAGAAGCACAACTCATATCAGTGCAGAATCACTCATTGCTTGACGACAGCCCCGACACAAGCCAGTTCGAGACGGAGCAAGTGTTCCTTTCTCAGCATGACAAGGAGGTGGAGATGGTCAGATCGAGACAGAGCAAGTGTTCCTTTCTCCAGTGCTTCTTCCGGATCAAATCCAGCAAGGTAAAGGTCCAACCTTCCACATCATCGGCTCCGGTAAGAGAGACTCGAAACTGGCAGAGGGGGCTCGAGAATGGAAGAGCCTGGGGGTCATTTCCCAGCAGAGCACCACCCCCACATGGCCACCTTCCACCATACCCTCCTCCATACTTCGTCATGGGCCAACCACCAATGCCACCGCCACCAACATTGCACTTCCAGCCTCTTCCTCCACAGATGGTCAACCCCACACTGCACTACCCCCGCTTCTGACTCAGTCGTGAACAGTAACATGTTACAGTTCCTGCAAACACGTAGACAATTGCAAGCAAACAGAATGTTTACTTGGAAACGGAAGTTTTGCGCCTGTGGCAATTCATCTTATAACCTGAACTGGTATGAGACGTAAAGCACACTGCATTAACAAAGCTACATTTACATCTAATGATACAATGTTTGAGGATCAATACCTAGAGAGAGAGAGGGGGGGCCTTTATTTGCCTTTCCTCTCCCACCTCTTGGTTTACTGTTGACCTACAAAGAATTTTCATGGTATTGGAAAAGGATTTTGTTTCCTTTCCTCCTATAGTCTTTGTTTGACTCGTCTTCCATTGACATCGCTTCCATCGAGGACAGCTTCACTCCCGGTTCCCTTAACTATCGTGCAGTGCTCGCTGACTCTGGCCACCTGCTCCAGTAGCTCAGTCAAGACAGATGGACAACTTTCTTTCAGGTACTCAAAACCCTCTGTCTGCATCACAGCTACACAGCACAGAGGAGCAAAGAATAGTTGTTCAGAACACAACAACATAAATGCTTAAAACTGGGGCTTTGGGTAATGCCAACGAAGAAATAACCAACAAAGTTTTTGATTGAGAAACCGGAATTACCCCTCAAATTTTCAGGCATTGCAATGTATTTGAGACAGACATTTTTCAGCTGGAAACAGTGGTGCTGCTCCGCTAACGCAAGAGTGGTTGCTACCGTGTTAATGGTGACATCATCACAAAGATTAGCCATGCATTGCAACCTAAGCCTTTCCAGACCATATCTGTCGGCCGCAGCTAGAAGGTGCTGAGACATCAAAGTCAACGCCCATTTGGAATTCAAACCAGCTAGCTCTTGTAGATCAGGAAGAGAATCCCAGTAAATGAAATGAAGAAGAGCCTGAGTCAAGAAACAAAGAGGAATTTACAAACATTTGTCAAGCGTTATAGTTCCATGCCTTCACAAGTCATATCAATCACAAATGGAATGGAGGCTTGATGTCACAGATTGTAAAACAAACCAGACAGCAAAGACTGGCTGACCTTAAACACTGGAGCTTCAATGTCCTCAATTGTTATACAGTGTGTATTCCGATCTTTCATAGGGCCAAAAAGTTGAGCCCTAAACACAGGAGAGCGAGCAGCAAGGATGAGCTTATGAGCTGCAAACAGTTCACCATCAACTTCAAAACTAACGTCGGTGCCTTTTCCACTTTCTAAGAGCTTCCCGAAGTCGTGGCAGATGTCTGAAGGAGGAATCTCTATGTAATAGACCCGAGGCCCCTCAACACGAGACCTAACAACACCTACACTGCAGTGCACCATCAGACAGTCTCCTTTTAAATAGTCAGATGTCTCCAAAAGAGATCTCTTGAAGAATCGTTTATATCCCCTGCTCAATAAAACAATACATAAACAGGTTAATGAGTTTACTGCTCATGTACACATTTGCAAAGCCTAACCTCGAGGAACAAATCACCAAAACCAATAGAGCATTGTGCTAATCTCTTATTGGAAATTCGTTAATCATTGGTATAAAATATAAATAGCTTGAATTTCAGGCTCTACTCCATTCAGTGTTCACTTTCATTTAAACAGTGGCGGTCAATACAAAAACGAGAACCGTAGACGCAAAACGGAATAGACCAAGATAAGCTAATCTAAATCATCAAGGCTCCCACGAGGAAGGAGAAACCCAGATCATAAACCTTGGGCCGGAAGACTCACCACATGCTACCGCGATACTTGAGCGTGTACGGACCGCTCTCAAGGGTCCTCCCAAAATGGCTATGAACCTTATGCCTCTCCTTGCCGCTCTGATCCAACAGCGTAAGCTCAAACAGCGCCCTCACATCTATCGCGTGGCTTACCAATGCAATGAACAATGACACATACGCCCCATTGTCCTCCACGCTCTTC